CAAAGTACTTTGCGCGACGCATGTTATTGTTCGTCTCGCAAACCCTACCGTCACGGCCTTGGCGCAACGGTCAGCGCGCGACGAAACCTTCGTCGCGCAAACCCTTAGGCAATGACTTTTGGCTTTGCGCGACGCATTTATGTACGTCGCGCAAAGTGTTTTTTCTACTAGTGAATGTCCTAAAGATAGAATTTCGCCCATACTCTTATGCTTGTAGTTCGGTAGGTGTCCATCTCCCAAGATTCAACAATCTATAATCCGAAGTCAAAGCACTTTAATTTTCGGACTCTAGCGAACTTTATATATTTCGTACTCTTAAGACACGACTTGGAATTTGACACACGAATCATTTGAGAAACAAAGTGGGGAAACCATATTTCTCAAGAGTAAAAATTAACTCTAATTTTCTATATTTAATACCAATGGTTTCATGGGTTTACATAGAATCCAATTTCTACTTATTAAAGAGATGTAACTTTTCATTTATAAGTATACATCACTTATCAAGGGAATACAATACACCTAAACAACATAACCTTTCTAAGAAATTGGTTAACACTATTTTTCATTCAATTATTAAAATTATATATTACAATATTTCATATTATAATATATAATTTCCAACAATCCCCCACATGAATGAAAAATTAGGAAGAATTTGAGAGTACAGGCGGACAAGAGATGCATCGAGAGAGATGTCTTTTGGACTTGAACCTACCCTAGTAATACTTATTGGATTTACTTGGTGACACAATGGATGTAGAAGATCTTGAACTGTTCACCACATTAGTAAACTGAGACAATAATCAAGTATCACACATCACTTATCCTAATATAAATTTTTCATACGGTTATGTTCATTTTGGTCCTGCACAAATGAGAGCATGAGAGCTTTTAGAGAATTTAGCCATCTCATTCTCATAGAAGCGACTCATTTCTACTCTCACATAGGTGACCACTGATTAAGAATAGTCTACTATATTCCTCTTATTTATAAGATATCACTATCATTAGTAGTATGGTATAACTTTTGCAGACACCCTAAAACTTTTGCAGACAACACACTTTCCAGGTCTCATCATAGGAATGGTTAGGTACATGGTGTGTTAACTTCTTTGAAACATGCCCAACTCTAGTTTGCCTATTGAGACTTAGACCTTGGATCTTCAATCAACTAAGTTAGGTTTCCGCCCGGCTAATTCATTAGTTATTGTTGGCTTCTCATTCCCTCGATGATCACTTACTCTCAAGTCCTCAATTAATATTGGATCCACTACTAGGTTGACTATCTTTAATGGTGTGCACAATCCATCTTATGAAATATAATTCATACGAGAGTAGTTGTTTGACATTGTTTGAAATGTCAAGTCCTCAAAATTATATTTATCAGGTAATAATTGCTAACAATTTGCTAAGCACTATTACACTTAAACTCCCACCATTTTAAGGTATTTGTAAGAAGGTCTCTAACTTTGCCATACCTTAAACAAGTTATCCATAATAAGAGATATTGCTTATTACTTTTAAATGCAAATTACTCTTCCTAATTTAGACATTGTTCTTTGCCTTATATTGATATCATTAATATACATGCATTATTAAATTCATATATTAACATTTTAAATATCCCTATTTAGTGTCCCAGTGTCTTTTCTTTTTCCCAAAGACCCCACACTTTAATGTATTCCTCACACTTTGTCTAGCTAGTCCTTTTCCAAAGACCCCCACACTTCCAGTGTATAATTCCTCTCAAAGGAATTTCCTTTTATGATACTTATCATAAAACTGATCGTCTTCTTTTGCTAGTGCTTGTATTAGTCTCACTTTCTTTGCAATTCTAACACCACTCTAATTAGTAATTACTAGCAACGCTAGTGTCTAGTGCCAATTATTAGTCTGAAACTGCTTCTCTATAGACTAATAACGCAATTTTGCAAAGAGTTGCAACGGCTTGTAAAAATAATCATATCAGCACCTTCTTGTGTGGTTTTATGTACGTGTTTTCACAGCTCTTTTCAAACTGCACATTCATGATATTTCCTCATAAATATATAAAAATTCATGGTCATTTCAAATTAGAATCAAGTAACCATTATGTTCCCTTTGGTAGAAAAATCAAAGGCATTTGACATATTTCAATACCAAACTTTTCTACTTCGATAACACATCTCCTTTCTAGGAAAAAGATCCATTTCATAAACTAGTAAGAATCCAGTACACCACTTTGGCGTTCACTTGGCCTTAACCGACGCCTTTCTTCTCATAAAGGAGACATATACTGAACATGAGCTTTAAACGGATCTCATATTAATTGCAGCAATTAACCACATGATGAAAATCTTTATCACCGTTTCTTTCACGAAACCAGAATCTCCAGCTTTTCTATATCCCAAACGGCACTAACACTATAACCGATATGGTTATAGTCTGAAAAGAACCAAACTAGTGACCACGTCATCTCTATCCGTAACCAGTGACCGAATGGTTCACCAATTCGTTTCTTTATCCTTGGGTTCGTACCGTTTGAGAAAACTTGGAGACCTTCGCATCTTGTTTGGCATCTGTTTGTTATTTGAACAGATAAATCCATTCAAATAGAAAATCATGTCTGGTTTCAACCCACCACGAACCTCACCAATCATAACTGATTGTGTTGGTTAAAAGCACCGAATGCCTTTTTTCAAGAAATTTTGTTTGATAAGTTTAAAAACCAACCAAGCATTAGCCTGATATATCAAGCCCAGATATGGCTTCGTTGAAACACATGCAGTGGTTTGCATCTTCCCTATCAAGACAAGATTTGTCTGGATCATGAAGCCAACATCTTCCATGTTAAATAATGGGATTCATAATACTGTATATCAATTTGATTCTCTTAGAGGAATCACTCCATAACAACATTGTTGAGAAACCATTTAACAGGCACAACGGTTGGCGAGATTTAGAATTGGCAAAACCAATCACAATACACAATAACTGATCGCCATTCTCAGTGTCTAATTTTTAGAGTATTGAACCAACAACAATAACGTTAAATGGCAAAAACATTAAATAAACAATCCCTTAACAAACTGCCCATTTCGTTCTTAATGAAATTCAAGAACAATATCTTCACAGCAATATGCATGCATTTCAAAGTCTAAATTTTAAATGGCAGTTTCAATAACATATATTCAAATCATTCTTTCCTACTTTCTCAATATAATTATTTCTTAAATCCATATTTTTTTCTAATTATTGCTTAAAGAAATTTCTATCTTTAGATTGTTGGAGCAATATTAGAAAATATGAAAATAACACAAGAATTCCAATGATAATAATAATAAAGGAAATTAACAACATCTATAGTATACAAGATTAATATAAACAACTAGAGATAGAATTAGAAAAATTGACATACTTGGAGATTGAGGCTTGCATAAATGCAATGCCCCAAAGATAGAATTTCGCCCCTACTCTTGTGCTTGTAGTTCGGTAGACGTCCATCTCCCAAGATTCAACAATCTATAATCCGAAGTCAAAGCACTTCAACTTCGGACTCTGGCGAACTTTATATATTTCGTACTCTCAAGACACGACTCGGAATTTGACACACGAATTATTTGAGAAACAAAGTGGGGAAACCCTATTTCTCAAGAGTAAAAATTAACTCTAATTTTCTATATTTAATACCAATGGTTTCATGGGTTTATATAGAATCCAATTTCTACTTATTAAAGAGATGTAACTTTTCATTTTTAAGTATACATCACTTATCATGGGAATACACCTAAACAACATAACCTTTCTAAGAAATTGGTTAACATTATTTTTCATTCAATTATTAAAATTATATATTACAATATTTCATATTATAATGTATAATTTCCAACACTCTTGAATCAGGGCAGGGCTTTTACAGTAAATAATGTTTTTGGATTCCAAAAGCACTTGAAGTGCTTTCTGCAAGAAACATCAATTATGTGCTTCTTCCAATAAGCACTTTCCTCCGAGAAGCATTTTAAGTGCTTTTTTCAGAATTTACTTTCATTTTTACTAAGGATTTGTTCTAAAAACATTTTCATCAAAAGCATTTTCAGTTATTTTAAACGCATATCCAAACGAACTCAATTACTTAAGTAATTATCCTCGAAATTAATTCAATAATCTCTCCTTTTATCGGGAATGACTTCCCAAAATTAGTTTTTAGACACACGACATAATTTAATTTAGAAGGGGATAAGGCCACACATGTGTGAGCAAAATGGACTCACTTGATTCCGGCAATCATACTAAGAAAGGTAACTTTGAAAGTCAAATAATACAATTAAATGGGTAAAACTAAAGAAGTAAGCAATTAACCAAACAAGGAAACAAAAGTCAAATAAATGAAAATCTGTGACGAACATGATGAGTGGTGATGGGGATTCAACGAATCAAAGAAACCAAAGCAAATGGTAAGGTTTCGTGAAAATTTGTTGTAACATCTTAGCTAATTTGTGGACTTCCTAATTCACCATTTTTCCCTGAAAATTGTGTTCTTATCTCCAATTAGTTGAATCTGTACTTGTTGCAGAACATTTAAACATATATATAAAGAGAGGAATGGACACTTTCCACTGACTCCATTTTCATCATCTGGATCAGCCCTCAGTTAATCCAATCCTTCCGGAAGAAACACAGCACGCCGCTAATCTGCTCAGTGTTGCTTGAGGTAGTATGTATCAGCATGCAATTCCTTATTCATACCTTATTTTTTCCTTCGAAAGATACGATCAACTGGCCGTAGTGTAATAGTAGAGTACAATTTTCAGTTTTGAGGGTATTACTGTTATTCTGTTGATTCTACCATTTGAAATCCTTGATAAAACTTTTTAATGAAGCAACCAATTCATGTTTAAATGTCTATATACAACCTATAAGTGAGTTTATATATATTTAAACTGCTAGCTAGCTCCACAGTTTAGCTTTCTGTTCCGTCTCTCATCAGTTTATTATGTACATTTTATGCAGGTTTTATATTATAAGGCACTCAGTAGTGATCAGAAAGTGATGGCAGTTTCGCAATGGATTGCGTTCATTCTATCATTCCTAGCAACCATTTACAACCACAACATAGAAATTGTGGAAGCTAAGATGACATTTGACATCGGTGTTAACTATGGGACGTTGGGGGATAACCTCCCTTCTCACGAAGACGTGGTTCAGCTCTTCAAAGACAACCATATTAACAAGATGAGGCTGTTCAATCCTAATCCGGAGGTACTCAAAGCGCTGATGGGGCAAGGAATCTCCATAGTGCTAGGCATTCCTAACGAAGACTTAGCCAGTTTGTCAGAAAGTCAAGAAGCTGTGGATCAATGGTTTGCTGTCAATGTACAGCCCTACATAGATGACATTGAATTCAACTACATTGCCGTTGGAAACGAGGTTATACCCGGGGAATTAGGCAGCTATGTTTGGCAAGTAATGCAGTATCTACAGCACACCATCGACGAATACCACTACCAAAGCCTAAAGGTGACCACTGTTTTGCCAGCTACTGCCTTGGGAGTTTCATATCCACCTTCAGCCGGTCAGTTCAGCGGAGAGGCTGCCGGTATCATGGCTTCCATTTGTCCCTTTTTGAATTATCAAGGGTCGCCCCTTATGATCAACGTGTATCCTTACTTTGCCTATGCGTCAAAAGCTTCCGATATTCCCTTAGACTACGCTCAATTTACGGCAACAAAACCCTGGTTACAAGATGGGAACTTGAGCTATTACAACCTATTTGATGCCACAGTTGATGCTTTTTTCTCAGCAATAGAGAAATCCGGGGGACCCGATGTAGCCGTGGTGGTGTCCGAGAGTGGTTGGCCATCTGCTGGGAACGGAGATTTCACTGATACAGAACTTGCTGGGACGTATGTTAGAAATTTCGTAAGACATATAACCTCGAACGTAGGAACGCCGAAAAGACCCGGTGCTTACATAGAAGGCTTCGTCTTTGCAATGTTTAATGAGAATCAGAAACCCAGCGAAGAGGAGCAAAACTTCGGAATATTTTATCCCAACAAGAAACCTGTGTATCCTGTATTTTAATGATTCAACAAAATCTAATATACATGCATTAATAAAGTCACATATCCGAGTTTTTCTGTGAGCTTTCTACTCCATTTCATCTTGTATTTTCAAGCTCTCAAGTCTATAAAACATTAACCAATTAGCTTGTTCAGAATTGATCATGAAAGAACAACTTCTGCTAAAGGAGCACGTACAAATTTGTATTAAAAGCACTTGGAATTGCTTCTTGAAGAAGCACATCACAAAGTGCTTCCACGACCTAGAAGCGCATTTCAGTTTTTGGAAAAAATTAGTCAAAAGAGCATTCTCTCATACTTTTTAGCCTTGTCAGAAGCAATCATAAACAAAAGCAAAATCATGTAAAAACCTTATATTATTTGAACCAGATCACTCAATATCAAATGGTAACCCTAAATTATTTGAACCAGATAATTCAATATCCAAATGGTACAAGTAAAACTTCCAAAACATTAAAATCAAAGACGCGGGAGAGCGGTTCCTCTTTCCCGTTTGATTTGTTCAGGAAAGGGTAGTCAGTGTACCCAACAACAGGATCTTGTGTGTAGAAAGTCTTCCTGTTATACTTGGTCAAGGGTGCATTAAGCTTAAATCTCATAACCAAATCAGGGTTTGAAATAAAAAGGCGACCGTAGGACACCAAATCAGCATCCCCAGAAGCCACAGCTTGCATTCCAAGCTCTCTAGTGAACCCTCCGCTAGCAAGAAATGTACCGTGATAAGTTTTCCTCAAAGTCCTCATAAACACAGCTTCCTCTTCATCGCTACCAGGTTTTCCAGCTTCCGCTTGACCATAGGCTGCGTAGCGAGGCTGAGTCACATGAAGATAGGTCAGTTTTGTGCCCCAGTTTTGTTGGAGCTTATCGAGCCTTTCGGTCACTGCCAGACCTAGAATAAGTGGATTAGAGTCAACAGCATCCATGTGATCAATAGCTGGTGACATTCTGACCCCAACTCTATCAGCACCTATTGCTCCAACCACTGCTTGAACAATCTGAATCAAGAATTTGCACCGGTTTTCAAGCGATCCACCATACTCATCTGTTCGATCATTGATCCCGTCTTTCAAGAATTGGTCAATGAGATAGCCATGTGCCCCATGAATCTCAATTCCATCAAAACCTGAACAACATGAAAATGGATCACAATAAGACTCAGAGCTATACAAAAAATGAAACATCGAAACGAAAATGGACATAGAAACAGACCTGCACGAATGGCATTCAAGGCAGCCTGGCGATATTGCTCAACAACTTGAGAAATTTCATGGGTTTCGAGTGCTCGAGGCTTAGGGTAAAAGCCATAAGAGCCATCCGGCTACAGAATTCTCCACCTCCTTGAAACAGGATTGTTGGTTGACGATATTGGTGCTCCCCCAGGAGTATTTATCAAATATAGCCAAATATTAGTCCTTAATTTAAAAAATGTGAGTTTTTATAAACACTTTCAAATGTATCCAAAATATCACTTAAATAGACATAAATGCCCTTAAACTTTAAAACCAAATAAATTAGAAAAACCAAAACCCTATTAGATTGATATTTTGGACGGCAAAACCTAAAAAATGGTGGAGATATAGTGAAGGCATCGGCTACTGTGGAGACTTTGTGCAACCCTAAACGTACAAAGGTGAGTGTAGATGGTTAAGTTTTTCATTCTTCCTAGTCTATGTTTTCTCTTTGCTTTTGTAGTTTCTTCGTTCGGTTGAATTTTATTGAAGAACGAACTGTCAATTTTTGTAAAATTAGAAAAATTAGGTTTCTTGTGTCAATGGAAGATTGACAAATCTAATTGTTTTTGCCAATCAGTTAGAGGCAAAGCTAATAGTTCTTTAATGCATATTTGAAAAATTAGGGTTTACGGAATAAAGTTTTTCTTTCTATGTTTTTATTCATCTTATGTTGGTTTGGTAAGCAATATTAATTTAATTATTTTCAATGCGTAAAAGTGGAAGTCACCTTAATCAACAAGGTCCTTCTTCCATTGCACAAATGCATGATGCTTTATGTATATATTAACGTCCAACCTTTCTCATGATTCAGTCCAGTTTTCACAACACCCTCTTTATTTGCACATATATATCAATCTTAGGTGTGTCTGTATGTCATTTATTTTTTTTCTTATTGTTTTTGTTTATTTTTTAGGACAATGTCTAGTTTGACAATTTTAGTGACCTATGGTGGGAGGTGGGCTAACTCAACGTACAAAAATTGCAAAACGAAAGGATTACTTGTTTCAGACAAAATTACATTTGTAGAGCTTCAAAAGAAAGTACATGGTATTGTGAATGTGGACCCAAATGAGTATGAGATAAGTATGAAAGTTATATATAACGCAACGGAAACTACATGGCCTGCAGATATAGTTGATGATGATGATGTGAGGGCATTTATTTTTGAAAACCTTTCGAGGTCTTGGAAGATTCCCTTGTGTGTTACATTAAAGCAGAAAGTATTTTCTTCAGAAGATAATGATGACCCATTACAAACAGGTCTTAACTTTGTTACTCAAGGTGATTTGGAAGATATTGTGCTACATGATTCAGATAACGACTTGGTAAATCAAGAAGTTGAGAATGCATCGTATCATGAAGAATTTGAAAATTTGCCAAATATGGAGTCTGATAATGTGTTCCAAGATAGTGTTGAATTCAATGAGTTGCCTCATGAAGGGATGGTATGTGATGTTGTGCCTGCTAATGTGCAATTTGATGAACCCAGCTCTAACCGATCAAATGTTCACAAGGGTACAAATATTGTACATGAATCAGACAAGGCAGACCTGTACAATTCAGATGGAGATATAGTTGTAGGCCAATTGTACGAGACTAAGGAGGATTTAAAAAAAAGTTAGGTATTCATGCTATGAAGAACAATTACGAGTTCAGAGTGAAGAGATCAAGCAAAGAAAGGTTTGAAGTTGGTTGTGTCGGCGATGGATGCAAGTGGAAACTATCCGCTTCTAAATTACAACAATCATCATATTTCAAGGTCAGAAAATACATTACTATGCATTCATGCTCATTAGACGTTATTAATCGCCATCATCGACATGCAAGTAGTTCTCTTATTGGTCAATGCATAAAGTCTAAGTACGAGGGTGTATCACGACTACATAGACCATGTGACATCATAGAAGATATGAGGAAGGACATGAGTGTGAGTATAAGTTATGTGAAGGCTTGGAGAGCTAAGGAACATGCATTGGAGTTGGTTAGGGGATCACCAGAGGAATCTTACTCGTTACTTCCATCTTATTTTGCTGTGTTAGAAGCCAAAAATCCAGGTACGATAACACATATTGAAACATATGAGAATAATCATTTTTTGTACTGTTTCATGTCACTTGGACCTTGCATAAGAGGATTTAGAAGTGTTATTAGGCTGGTAGTAGCGGTTGATGGGACATTTTTAAAGGGTAAATATCTTGGCACTTTGTTTGTTGCCACATGCATGGACGGCAACAAACAAATATACCCTCTAGCATTCGGAGTTGGAGATTTAGAGAATGACGCATCATGGAATTGGTTTTTGACAAAATTATGAGAAGCAATTGGGGAAATTGATGAATTGGTGTTTGTTTCTGATAGACATGAAACCATTCAGAAGGCTCTCTCAACTGTTTTCCCCAATGCCCATCATGGTGCATGCATATTTCATATAAGTCAAAACATTAGGCATCATTTTAAGCATGAGAGAGCACACAAACTGTATTTTACAGCTACTAAGGCATATCGAATTCCTGAATTTCATCATCTTATGACAGAAATATATAAAGTCAACTCTGAGGTGGGTGTTTATCTTAATTCGGCTAGATATGAAAAGTGGACTCGTGCGTACTTCGATGGAAAACGGTACAACATCGTGACAATAAATATTGTTGAATGTCTTAATGCAATCACCAGAGATGCTCGAAAACTACCTATCACACGATTTCTTAAGTATTTAAGAATGAATATTCTGCATAAGTGGTTTTATGAGCGTCGAACTAAGGCAGCTAAAATGAATACACAATTGACAAATTGGGCAGACAAATTAGTGTGAGAAAATAACAAGCAAGGATTATCATTACAAGTATTTTGAATTCACTTAAATAGATTTTAGTTCAATTTGTCTGTTTAATTTTGGTACACTTTCATTTGTTCTCAAGTTTTTAAACTATTTTACCGATTCTTATATCCCATCTGTAGCTTTATCCATCATTGCCATGTTTAGTAAAGAATAAATGTATGTTTGCAATGTAAAAGGCTAAAGTAAAAAAAAACCTAGGCTTTGACAAGAAAAAAGTTAAAAACCATATCTTGTGAACTTCAACGTAATTGCTGCTATGGATTTATATAATTGCCTTTGTAGTTTTATGCAGCAGTTCAGGGTATTCATCCACTTCTTACAGATCACTAATTGCGAATTGCTTTTGTAGTTCTTATGCGGAATATTTTTTTTGGTTGTTTAGTTCTTCTTTTGTTTGAGTAATATATATGTATGTGAACATGTAGGTATCGCCCATTGCAACTTACTTATTTCATGTATATGATGGATCTTGTATTGAAGTTGTGAATTTAGAGGAAAAGAGTTGCACATGCCGACAATTTGATCTTGACCAACTCCCTTGCTCACATGCTTGTGCTGCATGTAGACACCGACAACTTTCATGTTATCCTATGTGTTCTCATTATTATAATACAAACTCCTTGGTCATTGTCTATGCAGAAGCTATATGGCCAGTTGGTGATCAAACCGATTGGATAGTAACTGATGATGTGAGTGAAAGAACTGTCCTACCACCAATTACACGAAGAAGATATGGTGGGCGCAAAGAAAAGAGGATCCCATCACATGGAGAAGAAAAATCAACTCGAAAGTGTTCAAAATGTGGTTCAAATGGCCATTATAAACAAACTTGTAGGAATCCTGTTCAACTTCATCCTACTTTGTAGAACCCTTTTAAATTGGAGTTTTATGAATAAATATTTTCTTTTGATCATTTTATTGTTTATTTTGGTTGTACGTACAATTCTTTAAATTTCAGACGATTAAAAATAATT